GTTATTAAATATTTCATTACAAGTACGTAGTGAAATTTCATTACGATACAAAATGAAATTTCATTACTCAATTGTTGTGAAACGTCGTAACACCTTCCTTAAATTTCATCTGGACGAAGCATAACGCACCGCTCCCCCGCGCGCCAAACCTGCTGGTATAGACTAGATCGTCTAAAAAGAGGCCTTGGGCTAGAATTGCGTCTGTTTGGCTCTATCTCTCACCGTTTAGGCGGTAGAGGGAGTTTTACTCACAAAAGTGGCACAAAAATAAATACATTATTTTTAAGAAAATGTTCGATGGTGTCCAAGGAGTAAATCGTGAAAGATGAACCCTCTGGGATAAAATGTCCGCCTGGCTTTCACTGTCAACTTACGAAAGGGAGTTTTTCTTACCAAAATGGCCAAAACAGAAATATTTTGCCGTAGGCGTTTCGTTCTCTAGGAGTGGACCTTAAGATTTTTTTCTTTTTTTTTTAGTTTTTATTTTCCATGAATTTTGCGAACACTTTGCTTTATTGTCGATGGATAGTAATGTTGTGATTCGCATGGGAGTGGGGCGAGGGGCCGCATAGGGCATTCTTCACCATAAGCGAGAAGGTGCACTACACTACCACGCAGAGGTAGGGTGGCCAACGGCAAAAAATCTATCAGACCGGCAGTTACATGTTAAAGATAGAGATGATAAAGATAGAGATGACCCTTGCTCTGGGCATTCCAAAACCTCCCCGTTGTCCCGATCGGACCCCGGGTACCACTCGCTCAAGGTCTTTGCATTGTAACATGGGTTCCTTATGGGCTTTTGAATGTAAAATCGAAAAACGACCCTGTAGCGTCAGAAAGCCACCATATGGCAATATAATTATAAAATTCGTAATGTACGTTAAAAACTGAATTCAGCAATATATGGGTCGTTACTGTAGCACCTAGTATGCATATCTCGTTCACGTCTGTGCTGGTAAAAAAAAAGTACCCTGTGGTTTGTGCACTTATTCTTTTTTCATATAACTGGGGACAAGTTGACCGAGACCGAAAAAGGGCGGGACCGGGCAGGGCATGGGTCGACTTGGACCGGGGACAAGAGAGTCGGGGCGAGTTGTCCTAGATCCAGATACCCTGATAATTTTAAGTCTCTAGCACATCTCCTTCTAGTGGAACA